ATTACAGCCAAATCCAGTCCCTCAACATGCTTAGAAAAGCATATCAAAGTTAGACACTATTCTGGTAGTTGTTGACAGGATGACCAAGTTTGATCATTTTATTCCATTGGAACCACCAGTTACTGCTTTCATAGTAGCTGGGATCTTTCTCAAGGAAATATTCAGGCTTCATGGATTGCCAAATAACATCATCTCAGATAGAGATCGGGTCACCAGCCATTTCTGGCAGGAATTGTTTAAGTTGTTGGGTGTAAAGATCAAATTGAGCACAACATACTACCACCAGACGGGTGGACAAACTGAAAGGGTAAATCAATGTGTGGAAGCTTACCTTAGATGTTTTTGCTGTGATAAGCCACTCTCTTGGAGCAAATGGTTGTCATTGGCAGAATGGTGGTGCAATACTTCCTATCATTCAGCCATCAAAATGACCCCTTTTGAGGCTTTATATGGTGAGAAATCACAAGTCTTTCCCTTTGGACCATTAGCTGATAGTGTGATTCCAGCTGCTGACCATGAAGTTCAGACTAGAGCATCTATCCTCAAGCTATTGCAAGACAACATGACCAAGGCACATAATAGGATGAAGCATTTTGCGAATCTACACCGTTCAGAGCGTGAATTTGCTATGGATGATTGGGTTTATCTCAAGCTTCAACCATACAAGCAATCAACAGTGGCCATTAGATCTTACTTGAAGCTGTCCTCAAGATATTATGGCCCTTTCCAAGTTAAGGAGAAGATCGGGGAAGTAGCTTATATACTCAAGTTCCATCCTCAAGTCCTTATTCATCCCGTATTTCATGTTTCTCATTTGGAGCTCAACCATCTTCCATCTCAACCTTGCCTGAACCAGAAGTTATTGAGGGAAATGCATTGCAACCTGAGGAAGTTTTGCAGCACCGTTTTGTCATGAGAAATGGTTCAGCTGTGAATCAATGGCTGATTAAATGGAAGGACTTTGACAGGAGGATTCGTCTTGGGAGGATCAGTCCTTTATTCTCAGACAGTTTCCTACATTTCGACCTTGAGGACAAGGTCTTGCTTATGGAGGGAGTATTGTCATGATTCAGGGATTGATTTGATTGAATAGAAATATTAAAGGGTGTTTTTGCAAACTGGTAGCTGTTAGTAATAATTGGCGTAATGATTGTATTGCCATTTCTATAATATTGCTATTTTGGGTAGATTTGGGTATTAATAACTGCAACCATTGTGTAATGATCATTATGGAAAAATTACCCATTTCTTCTATTGACGGTTATCCCTTTTCTTCTTGCATCTTCTGGAACTTCCTTCTTCCTTGCTTCCCCGTTCTTCCCCTCTTCCTTTGAACTCTGATTCCGGCAGCCGTCTTTCCATCTCTGGCGAGCCCTTTTATTTCTCCTTAATTATTTTCTTACTCAATATCTGACAGAAGTATGGACTATATATACATGCCCTATAGTTTCTTCCAAAAACCTTAAGTTGATTAATTAAGTACATTACCGAGTAGGAGTGGCCTCGTTAAAAATTGTGTTGGGCCTACATTAGGGTTTGGATTATTTAGACAATATAAACTTGATGACATTACTACTCCAATCATGGAGCTGTTGAACCGCAAGCCCCCTTTATGGGTTCGGGCGTTTTCAACACAAGCCTCTCTTTGTGGTCGGCCGGTTGGGCGCCGGTTCAAGGAAATTTTTTGCCTCTCTTTTGAATTCTCATTTTTTTAGGGTAAAATTTTCCTATTTGGACGGCTGAGTGATTCTTAGACGGTAAAGAGCACTACAGATTTAATTTTCATATTTATTATTTTTTAAACAAAAAATATTATCCACAATGTTTTTTCCTTTTTTCTTGTGGGTTGTGAAGTAATTCAATTTAGAAAATTCAGGTAAAAAATATCTCTCCTACTAATGGTTCGTTGAAGTTTGATCTTTTTACTATTTTTTTTTTAAATAAATAGGAGGTTTAGAAAGGAGCTCAGGTTCTAACTTCCTCAAAAACACTCAAGGAGTCTACCCAAGAGATGAATTTTTAAATCAGTTATAGCCAAATGATGTAATGCACCCACGGGGTCTACCCGAGGGATGGACATATACATCATTCAGTTCCTCAGCTTCTCCCTACCTCTGTTTTATTAATTTTCCATTAAATGAAAAAATCTGGAAGTGCTTAAGACTTGCCACATTACAAAGCTATTTGAGTCTAACTCGTACATATGGAAACGAAATTTGATCTAAACGAACTAGACCACGAGTATGCCTTGGCAATTCCCCCAATCTAGTATAAATGCAAGATTGCCCTTGTGATCCTTGACCGGCCAAGCTGTCCACCACTGAGTTTGCTTCACAAAAAATATGAGAAATTGAGTATGAACGCCTCTCCTAATCCTATGAATCTCCTTAATTTGAAAGTAATATTTCCATGGAATCAGTTTTAGATTCCTCAAAAGATCGGCTAGCACCTTGTTGTCCGTTTGAATGTCAACATGATCCAAATTGAGATGAGCACATTTTCGAACACCAAAAAGCAGCCCATAAATCTCTGTGCCAAAACTGTCACACGCACCAATATACCCATGCTCTCCATACAGGAAGTTCCCACCACAGCACCTAATGACAAAACCATAGCCAGAATCTTCATTAGTAGCCGACCCATCAGTATTGAGAACAAAACCTTCATTACTCTACGACTTCCAACAAATCGAGATAGAAGTCCATCTTTGGACTTTTTGTAACTTTATACCAAATGCATTATCAATGAATTCCCTTTCCTCCACATTCCTTGTCTTCAAACCATGTACAAACAAAATCTTTTGGCCTGATGCTATTTCGTAATCATTGAAAAACACATCCAATGTTCTTAGAGATCGCTTTTCCCCTCTAGTAAAGATTATCAAATCATCGGCGAAGGATAAATGCGACACCCCCCCTCAAGCTACCAGCCGGAGTAGCATACGCAGCTAGCTTTCCTTCATGCATCAAAAAATTTAGACGCCTCGTTATTGCCTCCGCAACTAGGATAAATAAGTAAGGTGACAATGGATCACCTTGTTTTATTCCACGTGTGGCCTTGAAAAATCCTGCTGGGGAGCCGTTTACCATCACCGAGAACCAGCTGCATTGGAGATTATTCATAATCAACAAAACAAACCCCTGCGGAAACCGTAGCTTAAGCAAAACCTTCTCTAGAAAACTCCACAAAACTCGGTCAAAAGCTTTCATCATGTCGACCTTTATGATCACATTATTTCCCACAGCCTTGTGCGTAACAAATTGACAAAGGTCTTGCGCCAAAACCACATTATCTATAATATCGTGCCCTTTAAGAAAAGCCGATTGCTCCTCCGATATGATTTTTGGCAAAACTTTCTTCATCCTCTCAGTCAAGATTTTAGTAAGAATCTTATTCAGGAAAGTGCAAAGACTGATAGGTCTAAAGTCTAAAAATGTGGTAAAAGAATGCTTCTTCGGCAGCAATGTAATTAAGGTGCTAGATATACCTTTTGGAAGCGGCACTCCACTCATGAACTCAGAACATGCACATAGCAAGTCTTCAGCAATAACGTCCCAAAATGTTCTATAGAACGTCCCTCCAAATCCATCTACTCCCGGTGAACTATCCTCATCAAGGCTGAAAACCGCAGCACGCATCTCATCCATTGTAACCGCAGCATTTAACGTTTCTTTATCCAAAAGATCTAACTCATCATGTAGTAGGTGCAAAAATTTTTCCTGTTTTTCTTCTTGTGAAATTGGCGCAGGATCCTCAGTCAGCAAGGTGTGGAAAAAATTCACCGCCTCAGCCTCTATATCCCTTAATTTGGTTAAGGTTCTTCCATCCACCGATTGAATTTTGTGGATTCCCAACTTTACATTCTTCTCCGCTAATGTGGCATGAAAAAAGGATGAATTGATGTCCCCTTCCTTTAACCACTTCAATCTCATCTTTTGTTTCCAGAAATCCTCGTGCTCCTTCAACTTTTGGAGATAAAACGCATTGGCCTTGCTAAGAGTGACTTGGTCCGCTAAGTCACCCGTTTGGTCATGCTGAATTTCCAATTCCTTCACCCGCGCTTCAGCTTTTTTTAAATTTGCAAAGACATCTCCAAAGTGTTCTTTATTCCATTCCTTGAGTTTTAATTTCAGTCGGTGAAGTTTAGTAGAAAACGCAAACATGCCACAACCCTGGACCGTCTGAGACCAATTGTCCTTGACTAACTCATTAAATCCCGGCCTCCTTAACCACATTTGCTGGAAACGGAAACACCTTGGCCTACTTTCAGCTTGAACATCAAATTGTAGGAGCAGTGGCGAATGATCTGAAGTTGTGCGACTCAGGTGTTCCATCGAGATCTTTGGAAAGAGATTGCTCCATTCTTGTGATATCAATATGCGATCCAATCCCTTGCTAACCCAACCGGTATGCCTCGTACCACCCCAAGTATACTTATCATCGATGGGAGGAAGATAAGGCAACTCGTAATTGTCAATACATTTATTAAACTCTTCAATAACGCCATAATCTTGCACCGACGAACCCGAATACTCATCCAAGGACCGAATAACATTAAAATCCCCTCCAACAATCCAAGGAGAGTTAGGGTGCGCACCTCTGAATGTCACCAGGCTATTCCAAAGAGTTCTCCTATCAGCTTTATTTGACTGAGCATATATCGAAGATAACAAAAAATTTTTTTGAAACGGAACACATGTAACTTCGAAATGCATCGCTTGACCTGCATTTTCTATCATATTGATGGAGAAAATCCGGCTACCAAACACCCATATTTTACTTGTGGAAGAGGAGAATGCCAAATCAAACCTCAACTCTCTTCTTATTCCTTCCAGTTTATGACATGGAAGCATTGGCTCTAGTATAATCAACAAGGAAATTTTGTAAATCTGAATCATGGACCTCAAACGACGCTGAGATGCTTGACTCTTTATTCCCTGAATATTCAAAAAAACAACGCTAATCATTTGATAATTTAGAGAGATTGGAACCTACTAAAGTCAAAGGGAGCACCTTAGTTCAACACCCTCCGATTGTTTTGCACATTCTTCCTTCGACTTGCGCCCCCGCTTCTTGGTAACAGTGCGCTCGCCGTGTTCATTTTCAACAATGTGATCATCATGAATTTCTCCATCAGACCATAACTCTCTCTCGTCATGAACCGCCTCATTAGTAGGGATTTCATTCGCGGATGTATCATCATTAGATCGAATGGGATCTAGTTGCGAGACCAAGGGCATATTCCGCAACTCAACTTCAAGTAAAGCTCTAGTGTTGGCTAAATCCGAATTACCATCAACAGAAGTAGCAGCGATATTGTCTTGTTCTTCCTGACTTTGCGTATGATATTTAGAATGGACATTTGCCATCTCCTCTTCGGTCTCATCACCCTTCGCAGCATGGAGAATCACAAATCGATTTTCCGATTGAACAAGAGATGGTGCATCAACACAGACGGCTTCAGTTCTAACCGGGATGGCTGCAAATCCACCAGAATTGTTTCTTTTTCTATTGCGGACAGACCAGAAGATGATTCAAGTTGCCGCAACTCACCTTGCGCTCCTAGGGTTTCTTTCGCAGCTAGGGTTTCGTCCGCAGGCCGCGCCTCTATGGTTTTTGTCGCAGGGTTGTTTTTCATTATCTCCGTTGCCACCGTTGCTTCCTTTTCCACCCCTTTGACCACCAAGGGATTCAAACTTACAATTCGTGCTTCCAGTGTATTTTTCAGATCACCACCTTTCAATGTCCACTTAGGCTTTGCCAACTTGATTTTAATTCCTTTTTTCTCTGGAACCTCAATCTTGTTCGCATCAGTCACTCTCACCATGGGCTTTCCAACTCTGCAATCAGCGTCCTTGTGACCGATCTTGCAACATTTCAAGCAATACAATGGAATATGCTCGAATGTGAAAACTTGTTCATGCTTACGACCCTTTTTGCCCACCTTTACGGATTCTGGCAAATCCTTGGTAAGATCCTCCTCCACGTAGAATCTAGCAACCGAGGGATGGGTCATATTCAATGTCGGAGTGTCCACTTTCAAAGGCTGTCCAAGGGCTGTGGCCATCGAGTAAATCACTTCCGTGTGCATGAATTCGATAGGGAGATCGTAGAGAGCTACCCATATTGGCACAACCGGAGGGTCTTCTCAAATCTGAATCCGTCCATTTCAACATTCGCATTGAGAATCCACCAATATTCCAAAATGTTTGAATCCAACATTTTTGATAGTCCTCCTCCATTTCAAAGCGAATCAATACATGTCTAGGATTCATCAAACCTAAGGTGTATGCACCACTGAATCCGATCTTCTTGAATTCGGCGTGAATCGCCTCCATTTTCGGCCTACCGTAACAGAATTTCCCGACGAGGCTTAACCGGTGTGGAGCAATTGGTTGTTCAAATTCCTCATCTTCAAACTCCAAAGTTGGAGTGCCATTGATAAACTTGACTTCCTCGAAAAAAAACTGGCAAAGGATTTCTGCGGCGTAGGTGTTGCCACCGGTGTGGCCGAACCGTAGCGGATGCGGCTGACTTTTTCGCAGAGAGGGTTTCGCAGAGAGAGAATTTTTTAATTAAACTGGCTGAGATTAATGAATTACACTGACTAAGATTAATGAAGTTTTTAGAAAGGAAAAAGTGACTAATTTTTCTACATTTTATTATTTTCAAACTTTACCCCAGATAATCAATACTCTTCACGATTTTTTCCAATTGCTAAGCTTGTGAATTATTTGTTTAAAGTAACTATTCCTCCACATCGAGCAGCTATGATTAAGCATTTTTCCCTTTGACCCTGTCACTCCCACCCTCCCGTGGAAATTGAGCACGAGAGGATCATGCAGTGCACCATCGTATTCGATGATAACCTGAAGGATTGGCAAGTTCTCCTTTCCTCTCAAAATTATTGTCCAATAAAGAGAATAATTATTACCTAAATGAATAGGGCATAATTTGTTTTTTTGTGTTTGGAAATTTTAGTCTCATTGAATAAAAACAAAATCAGTATAATGAAAATAATGAAGAGACCGTCCTCAACCTCGATAAATAATGAACTAACATAATAACTAACTTCATCCATTTTCAAAATACTTTGAATTACACGTACTTGCAGGAGTCAGTCAATTTCATCGTAATCTCATCGTTTTTTTTAATAAAACAATTAGATGACCCCAACGAGAATCGAACCCTCGACCTCTTGGTAATAACCATCCCCCATCCTTATCTCCTTACCACCCCATCCAACCCTCCCACCCGATCGTAATCTCATCGTAATCAAACTATCTCAAACAATATTAATAATCTTGACTATACTATCTAGTGGATGACTAATAGAATAACCCTACAACTGTATCAAAAATAGCCGAATTTTTGCTGACTTATTGCATGTGTGTGCGTGTGATTTATCTGGAATTCTAAGCCTAATTGGTTTTGAATTTTAGAGTCATAGTCTAGCCGAAATTTTGAAGCTAAAAATTAGGGATTCCTAGTCCTAGTTGAACTTGAATTTTGGTTGTCTATTTGTGTTACACTTGGAGACCTATTTGGTTTTTTATTAGAGTGTTCACATGGCCGAAAATTTTAGCCCTAAAATTAAGGTCATTGAGTCCAAATTGTGTTATGATTTGAGTCCTATTCGGTTTTGGATTTTTGTGTTCACATTGGCCGAAAATTTGCAGCCTTTGTTTCCTAATTGTAATACAATTTTATTGTGTGTTTTATTTGAGTCCTACTTGGATTTAAATACTAATTTTTGCATGTGTTAAATTATAATTTCAGTGAGATTATAATTAGAGTTTTAAAGTGAGTCTATTTTCGAAAACTATTGACATAAGGAAGTCTTATCCTAATCTGAAAATTTTTTAGTCTTCTAATACAATTGTGCATGTGTATTTGATTCCTATTAGTAGTAGGGGGTCGAAAATTTTATCTCTAATTAGTAGGGATGAATTTTTCTAATTTGTGTCCAAAAAGGATTATGTTTACCTAAGTTTTAGGACACTATCCTTGTCTATATAAATGTGGCCGATTTTCCTTCTTCTTTATTCCATTTTGTCGAGCAGAATTCATCCATTAAAGGGGGGAATATTTTTGAGAAAAATTTAGATCCTATCTTGTAGGAGTTTTCTTGCACAAAAAGACTTGCATTGCCTATAAATACGGGTGCCGTTTTTCAAAAATTCTCACACCACTCTACTCCATTCTTCTTCTTCTTCTTGCTGCCGAGATCACAAGTGAAAAACAAGAGAAGCACTCTTCTCTTTAATTCTGAATTATTGAGAGTTAGTGTTCTTAAAAGCACAAGAGAGTTTTTGTTTTTGGGTAGAGCATTATCTGAACCTTCCTTTGGTTCTTGGGGGGGGGGGGGTTTCAGCCGAACCATTCTTTGGTTCTAGGGTTCAAGGAGTTTTTGTGTAGTAACCAAGGCACATTACTTCTTTTGTTGGTGGTTTCTCAGAGTTGTTGAGCAAAGATGTCATCCGGAGTTGCTGGTTGTACTTGAGTTGCTTCAAAGAGTGTAGAGGGTCGCATGGAGGCTCAAGTACAGCTCATGAAGAGTCAAATTAACTTTTTGCATGATGCTTTGGCCGAGGTGAAGGAGGCAAACCGAGACTTGTCTCAATTGCTTTCAAATCAACAAGATAAAGCTATGGTAAGTTTTGAGAAAATTGCTGAAAATTTAAGAGTCTTATGTGATTGTTTTAAAGTAAAACAAGTACCCTCGTATGTTGGAATGTTGCAAGTGTCATTGCCTTTGTTTTATGGTTGCCATAGAGAATATGATACTTGGAAAAAGAGCATAGAGAATTTGTTTGTGTTGCTCAACATAGAGAAAGAGAGTGAGAAAATAGCCTTAGCTATAGGTTGTTTTCATTCTAGTGCTTTGAATCGGTGGAAGCTAGTTTCAAATATCTATTCGCATCATTGATATCGTAATTTGGATGATTGGCATGATTTGAGAAATGCTTTATGAGAAAGATATGCTAGTACTAACACCTTTGATGAAGCAAAAGTGAAGTTGATCAATGTAAGCAGAATGGTAGATCCATTCAACCTTACTTTGAGGAGTTAGAAGGTTTGTTTCTGAGTTCAGGGGTGGATGAGAACGACTACATGTTGACAGATCATTTCCACTATGGCTTGGACAAGGGGTTCAAACAACACCCAAAGATAAGGAGGCAATCAAGGCTCTATGAGGCATACTACGCTGCCTTAGAAGTGGAGAGAGAGAATGATACTTCTTGTGGTTGGAATGGTCCAATTGAGGATCAAGGGTTGGTGTTTGGCGCTGAAGATGGTGATGAACGGACATGTATCTTCCGTACTAAGTGTTCAGTTGGGTGGTCCAATGAAGTTGATTTGGTAATCGAAGGTGGGTCGAGTACTGATTTTATAAGTGAGGAATTTTGCATAGCAAACAGAATCAAGATGGATCCGCATACTAGACCATACAAGCTTCAATGGTTTAGTGAAGAGATGTTTGTGGATGTCACTAAGAAGGCCATGGTATCTTTTCAAGTTGGTGACTATAGGGATGAAATTTACTTTGATGTAATTCCTATGTCTCTTTGTGATATTTTGCTAGGTAGGCCTTGCCAATCAGATGTAGATGCTGTGCACCATTGCTTGAAGAATATCTTTGTCTTTACTAAAGAGGACAGAAAATATATTCTTAAGCCTTTAGCTTATGAAGAAGCTGAATCTGTGCGAGAGAAAAGACGTAAGATAACCTATACACAAGGGAGAGAAAAAGTCGAGAGAGTGACGCAAGAAAGTGAAAAGGGTCACGTTGAGGTTAGACTTGAGGCGAGAGAAAATCATGAAAATAGCGTGGAAACAAAAAAAAATTGCATGCAATGAGAGAAAATCAGAGTGTGGTGAGGGTGAGGATTTTACTAACCCTTATATCTCGTTTGTTCCTTGTGCAGGTTTAGAGGTTGATGATTCGAGGACGAATCCTCTTAAAGAAGGAGCGGATGAGGAGAATCATGTAGCCTTCCATGGTGATTTTCCTAGTGAGGGGAATGAGCTAGTCCTTCATCCTAGTTTTGGAATGCCAAGTTTACTTTGCAGGCCAATCAAAGAAGAAAGGATGGATCTTGACTACCTATGTGATAAGGAGTTGGTTCAAGAGAGCTATGATCAAGATGATGAGAATGTCATTAACTTTGGGGTTCAAACCAAAGAAGGTGTTGACCTCATGGAAATAAGTGCTCAAGAGTATCAAGAGAGTTTGACTCTATGTGCTCCATGAAGATCATTGATCAAGCTAGTGAGAAGAGTCATTTAGGTTCTTCAATGGACAGTCTATTTGATCAAAGTCTTCAAGATTGAGTCCATTGCTACACAATTGGATATGTTGCAAACTACCTTAATTGTTTCAAGTGTTTTTCCAATCTTTTGGAGTCAATAAAGAGAATTCTACAAGTTTTGGAGTAAATTGGAGTTCTCTACAACTTGAGGGGTGCAAGACCAATATTCCACTTTTGGAAGGGCATTCAAGACATTTTACTTCAATAATTTGGAGCTGATTTTCGGATTTAGAGGTTGTCTAAGTCTAGGAGTTATTTTCAAAATTTTATCTAGTTAGATAAGACATGTGGGCTGAATAAAACTAGAGTGTTTTGATTAGCAGTCTTAGATTCCTTCTAAGTATTTTAATATTTGAGGATAAGTCATTTAGATAAGGTTTCCTAGATTTTAGATAGAGTCAAAGAGATCAAATACTCTTCTACTTCTACTCCTGCGTGATATAAGATTAGAGAGTCCTAATTGATCTTCTTTTTTGGTGCTGGCCGAATTTCTTCGCCTATAAATAGGGGGCATGGCCGAAATTCAAAAGCGCCCTTGAGTGGTCATTTTTGTTGTCTCTTTTGAGAGTTTTTCCTGTGAGGAATTTTTGTTAAATGGAGTGTCCATTTTTCGTGTCAAGTATGATTTAACCAAGAGGGTTTTCATCTTGTCTTGGATCTTTTGATCTTGCAGAAATCGTTCTTTTTCAAGTATGCTTCTTGA